TAGATACTGTTCAAGCTGGCAAGAGACCTTGGCATCATCCACATGATGCTATTTTTGCAGTTATGTAGTGTACAAAAGTTACAAGGTCATGGAAGTTTCCACCCAGTAGGCCTTGGAGGCCAAGTAATGTGTGGCAGGGCCAGGATCCCTGCAGGCAATCTCTGAGAGGGCAATGTGGGAAGCCAAGTAGGAAGCCAAACAGGCAGCGAAGACCCTAGGAACTTAGAGATGCCAGGACTGCAGAATGTCTGCCAAGGAAAGGTGCAGGTAAGGGAACAAAGCCAACCCAAGAGTGCAACCATGCAGGCTGCAAATGGCAAAGGCATGGGGCAAGGGTGCCAAAGCCTATTGGAGTTCACATCATGGTCCCAGCTGTTAGACATGGATCTATGGAATTTGATATTTTTCTTGTTGTCATTCAATCTTTGGTTACATCCTTCCTTTCTATCCCCTTTGGATTGGAAATATATGTTTTGTGCCATTGTATCTTGAACTTTGTCATTTGTGTTTTTTATTTTATTTTACAGTATTTCATAGCTAACAATTTGCCTTGAGTCTCAGAAGAAACTTTGAACTTTTTAAAGAATGTTGGAATTGTTAAGACTATAGAAACTCCTGGGGATAAACTGAATACATTTTGCATTACGAAATGAACATGTTTCTTTGTGTGGGTCAGAGGTGGAATATTATATTTTAAGGAAATCTGTTTGGGTTTCATATTGAACAAGGCAGGCTAGACTTGTGATGATTGGTTTTGATTTTCAACTTGATCAGACTGAGAAGTGCCTGGGAGATTAATAAATTACACTGCTCAGTGGTCTGTGAGGGAGTTTTCAGAAAGGCTTAAACTAGGGAAAAAGACCTATCCTGATGGGATGCACCATTCCATAGGCTAACTGCCCTGAGAAAGCACTCTATACTCTACAGCAGTTACTTTCTTTCTCTCTCTCTCTTTCTCTCTCTCAACCTCTCTTTCTCTCTCTCTCAATCTCTTTCTCTCAACCTCTCTCTTCCTCCCTACCTCCCTCCCTCCCCTTCTCCTGCCAGGGTGTGAGGATGTGAGTGGCTCTGCCCCTAGTTAATCCTCTCTGGAAACATCCTCACAGACACAGAGGTATGCTTTATTAATTTTCTAGATACTTCTTAGTCCAATCAAGTTGACAATCAAGATTAACTATGACATCTATAGAGAGTGTTTTACAATAATGAATTCATGTGTACTTAGGAAAGGGTTTTGAAATGAAAAAGGAAAAAACTAATGTTGAAAAGTAAACTAAAATATACACTAAAGAAAGGAATGCTTCTTGTTGCCGTAAAAATGTTATAGACAAGAGAGTATCTACTCAGTGGGCTAGTTTACCAAGACAGCCAGTGGGGTCCTCCTTCCATTGCTGGAGTAGGGCCTGGAGGGGCCTTAAGAGCATGACCTCCAACTTACTCCTCTGCTTCTGTGAGCTCACAGGAGGAAGTGATAACATAAGAATCTGACATCAGGTAGAACCCAGAGGCTAGATTACGTGAAACTCCAGAGAACCCTGGCTTTCTAGTCACCCCAGAGGGACTCCTGGATCACAGCAGGAAGAGTGAAATGGGTCAATGACATTGAGAAGTCAGTGCTAATCAGCAGCTTTTGAGGTGAAAGGATGGGTCTGCTAACAGAAAACAAGGATTGGAACTTTTACTGAATGTGTGAACATACCGAGCAAAACAAGTTCACTGTCAAGACTGGCTACTAGCTCTCAGATGATCAAATTAATCAATCATTTCTCCAACCACTATGACCAGACCTGGAAGAATTTGATAGTGAAGAACATTAACACATACAAGAAACTTGAAAAAGAAGGGAGTCCTCTAACAGAAAAAGTTAGGAATGGAAAATATATCTGGATTTTATCCCAGTCACGTAGGTGCTGCCTGCTAGTCTATTCATGGAGGAGTCCATCCAATATCTGGGCCATCTTGTGGCAAAACCCAAGAAAAGGTCATCTTCCTTAATCAACAAGCTGTCACAGATCAAAAGGTGGTCCTGGGATAGAAAGACATCTTTGTTTGTGTCTCAAACCACAAACAAAGCCTATGAGATCTTGCTGTACACCAGTAATTTGTTGTTCCTCAGTAGGCTTTTGGTGTCCGCATACAGATAGCTGGGTTGTATAAGCTGATTTTTGCTGGTTTTGTGAAATACACTCAGAGCACCAGTGTGCTGGACATGTTCATCTATCTCACCGATGTGGTTGTCCAGAAGATTACAAACATACCCACAGGGCCAAGTAGACCATAAACAACTTACAGTTCTGCCTAGAGAATACCTGTGGCAAGGAGTACCAACAAGCTGTTGGATGAGATCTGCTGGATCATCATGCAATCCCTCAAGAAGGTAGTCCCATGACGAACAATGAAAAGCACTGCTTTGAATGCTAAGGCAACCACATCATCATTGGTGATAAACTGAAGCCCCAGCTTATAGAAATGATTTGGAAGTGGATGGCTCAGTTCCTTCAGACACATTTCAAGCTTGGAAGCCTAAGATTCTGCACCACCAATGATCGAATCTTTACTACCTGATCAAGTACGCCCTCAACATTGTACATAATGCAATTATACAAAATGAATTAGACATAAGATTTCAAAGTTCAAATGGAACAAGTTCTCTCACTCCTATCCCATCCCTGTGTCCACTCCCTTGGGAGTTATGTTTTTGGAAGTTATGAAATTCTATGGGACAAGGAGCTGGCCCAGGGTGATAGGGGTCTACTGAGAACTCAGAAGCCAACGAAGAGCTCAGAAATTTCACAGGCAAGCTCCTTGGGCCCAAATGGATGGCAATCAGTCAAAGAGAGACTTAGGGCAATTCGTTCTCATCACCTGAAAATGACCACTATTGGAAATACAAGGCCCTAGCCTGGACTCCCTCGCAATTCCTGCTGGAAGACCTTTTTTGGAATTTCCTTTTGTCCTAGATGGCTTATCCTTTCCTGAACCCTGTAAATAAATAAAAATACTTCTGTGGAAGGTGAAAATACTAGAAATATTATAGATATTCGATATGACAAATATTCACTAGATCATTAAATAATAACACACTATGCAATATTTTTGTTTAGAACTATATATATATATATATTACATGCAATGAGTAGAAAAAGGCTAAGAGCATAAAATAAGAACATTCACAGTTGTCATCTCTGAGTGGTAGGATTCCAATTTAGAATCAAAGGACTTATTACGTGGATGGATGTGGGCATAGAAATATTGAGATAAACTGGAAGTTTCATATATTTCAGGTGGGACTGCACGTTCAAACTGTTCTGGAGAGCTTTCCTATTTCAGGAGGAGTGACTTTGATCCTAGCTACTCCATTTCTACAAATGTTTCCATTAGAAAAGTCTTAGAAATTGTTATATCAAAGTTCCTTTCAGCAGCTCTTTATCTTTTCTGTAAAGACTTTTCTTTTTGGTCTTTTTGAGACAGGGTCTCCCTGTAGCCTCAGCTGGCCTGGAACTCACTATGTAGACCAGGCTGGCCTTGAACTCAGAGATCTGCCTGCCTCTGGCTCTCAAGTGCTGGGATTAAAGGCATGCGCCTCTGTAAAGATTTTTTTAATGCAAAGGGGAGAGGGAACTCTGTCTTTGGCAGCTGCTTTCCTCAAGGCCACAAAAGCATCTTTTTCTGTTGGTATGGAAGTGTGTTTCCACCCTTCATGTGGTGAATTTGTGGCCCCATTTGTCCTTGGAGACCTTAAGCAGGTCCATTGTGTGCTGATTTTAATTGGGGCAAAGTTACATAACTCTCTGATCAAGTACTACTCAAAGTCGGTATGCTTGTCTTAATTACCTCCTAGCCCCTCTTGAAGTCAAAGTGATGGATGGCACAGAGCCCTGGTTGCTGCTTTCCAATAACGTCTGCTATGACAGAAGCCAGATCTATTTCTTATAACGAATAAGATCTAAACATAGGGTTTTGGTTAAATAATTAGTCTTACAATGGAGTAATATTCACTAGATATAAAGTTGTAAGAAAATACAATGAGACAATCTCAAAGGGGCCTCTGTACATCTTCTGAGGTTGCATAAAAAACTTACTCTGTAACTACACACAGGAAGGAGGAATGGATCCATTCAGCAGACTTCCAATTCAAGGCCTGAGCCATTGCTTTGCAATGTCGAAATTAATGTTTTGAGAATTCTTCCTCCACTAGCGCTTTTACATTTTTATTTTAAAAGTCAAATTAAGCCGGGCATGGTAGTGCATGCCTTTAATCCCAGCACCAGGGAGGCAGAGGCAGGTGGATCTCTGTGAGATCTAGGCCAGCCTGGTCTACAAAGCAAATTCCAGGCCAGCTGGGGTTAGAGGGAGACTGTCTCAAAAAAAAAATTAATGCATTTGTTAAAATTCAAATCTATTGAGGTATTCAGAGTTGCAAATCGGTGCCCCCCCCATCCTTTTACTCTAATCTCATTTTGTATCCCAGATGAATGGCAGTCAATAGGGTTACCTCTTAACCAGATTATTTTGATTTCTATACATTTACAAAGGCAGATCTTCTACAGATTCCTTGCCAATCACATTGCCACCCCAGATAATACTAAGGATAAAAAGATGAAATGTTTGAGGGCATACTATGTGCCTAAAATGTTTTATGGGTTTGCCCTGTGAATTCACTGTGGTTCACACCCCTCTCTTTGGTCCTCTGTAATATATCTATCTAGTCTTCCCCTCTTACCCCTCCCAGTTCTTCAAGGCAGTTGGATAGGTCGTTCATTTTCAAAACGAAACCAAGTCTTATCCCTCTTAGAGGCTTCCGATGTGCCAGAGTCAAATCTCTGTTCCTTAGTGATCCCACTATCCTCTTTGGTTGCCTTTATTGGACCTCGAGTAGCCCCAGCACGGTCCCTGGAGGTGACCAGGCTAAGGCGCAGAGGGAGGGCCCTCTCAAGGGGCAAAGGCGGGGCTTCTTGTTTGGTAGGTGGAGTCTTAAAACGAGTGAGAGCAGAGCCGCGGGTTTGGGTGGGTGGAAGGCTTTTTAAACTGAGGGCGATCGGGGGGAGCTGGGCTGGAGCTGGGCCGTAGATCCCCGCACATAGTTGCGGGCCCCGCGGAGCCTTTGCAGCCGAGGTGACCGACCATCGCGGCCTGGGCGACCGGCTGTGTTCTCGCGGCCGTCTTCAGCTGTTCGAGGTGAGTGGCAGTCTCCACGGGACCCTGCGCTGAGGCTCGGGGGTGGCGGCCTCGAGGAGCCTCCGGGAAAGGCTGCTGAAGGGGCCGATCGGCCGCCCAATCCTCCCTCAACCCCTCCTCCTTTCCCCTCCCCCAGGCCTCAGCTGCCTCCGGCGGAGAGCTAGCTGCATCTTGGGGGACTGCGGGGTAGCGGCCAGCAGCGCGGCGGGAGAGCGGCCAACAGTGGGAATGCGAGGTACCGGCATTAGTCATGGCCAAGTGGCCCTAGAGAGGGAGTAAAGGCCCTGCCTGCATCGTTTCTCTTCTGGGTTGGAGGAAGGCGGCCTCAGAGGAAAGGGAAGGTGAGGGGCGAGCAGGCTGGCTACACTGTTAACTACTGGGCGCGTGCGCGCGCGTGTTCAGCTAGATACATGGTACTATATACGTTCATTTCGTCTAATTGCATTACCAGTTTTTAATAATACGTCTTACAAATCTTAGTATATCAGAGAGTCAAAATTTATCCCATTTTAAACCACTGTATCGTACGATTGTGCTACAGTTAACCGTTTCTTGATTGTACATTAGCTTGTTTCCTTTGGGGGGAGGGGACTGTAATGCAGTAATGAATGGTTTTGTATATATGTTTCATGCACATGTATGAGTATTCCTGTAGGAGAAATTCTTAGAGGCGTAATTGCTGGATCAAACTGTATATGCATTTTGAATTTTGATAGATTTGTTTAAATTCCCTTCCCCAAAGGCTATACTAATTTGTTATACTCTCCAATGGTGTGAGATTGCCCATTTTTTTCCATAGTTGTGCCAACATGAATTGTTACTAATCTTTATATTTTTGCGGTTATGAAGGGTAAAAATTGCATTTCGTTTTCTTTTGCATTTTCCTGGTTATTCGTAAAATTGAGCACATTATTTTTCTAATTACAAAAGTGAATAGAGAAATATGAATATTTTCCTGTATACAAGCCATAAACATTTTGAAATTTTAATACTAAAAAAGACCCCAAGAAAAAGTAAAAATATCTGGAAGTATAAAACTTTATTGGGGAATACAATAGAAAAACGTTTGCATAAATGAAGGGATGTCGTGCTTCTGCCTAGGAGGACTCAGTTTTGTAAAGATGTCCATTTTCCCATATTAATTTATGTATTTGATGCAATTTCAATAAATACACCAAGGTTTTGAAACTTAACGATTCCAAAGTTCATGGTGGGAGATGGCAAAGACTAACCGAGAAAAAAAAAATTAGGATAAGACGGGGGGGGTGTGGAATACTTGTAGTACGCTATTAAACTGTACTCTAAAAGAATAATGTTTATATTAGAATGGACAGAACAATGGATTAGAATGGAAAAAACCCACAAATGAGCCGGGTCGGATCCCAAGATTTATTGGAGAAACATTGTTGCCAGACGTAGAAAAAACTGCCATATTTAAATCTTGAAGCACCTACTCCCCCCACCCCAAGCTTGAATTTGCTTTTGAGGGCAGACTCCTTTGTTTGGAGAAAAACACTTTATTGGGTCTTTTTGGTTATACCAAGGTAAGGTTTCAGTAGTTAAAACTGGTGACTTTGGAGGTAGAACAAATGATACGAGCCTTTAGTTAGGTTAAGATGGATTCAGGTTAGCCTGCAGTGCGGCGAGGGGAAAAGTGTGGATATTAGAGGTCTTTTGAATTTTTTTTCCGCTCTAATAGCAAAAATGTTATGTCATTGTTTTCATTCGCATTTGCGTATTTGTGAGATTGAACAGCCTTTATGTGTTACGGGGATAGATAGCGCGTTATTCCTTGAGGCAGATAACAATGGGGACCCATTTCTTCGCTTTCAGAATGGAGTTTGGCTAATTGGCACAGCCCTGCCAGAACCGTGAGAATAAACAGGTTGACTTTTCAAATTTTCTTCAAGCACTAGGCAGGCTCTAGACACCTAAATGGGGGGGGGGGGGAGTTTTAAAAAACGGTGTTATTTTCCAAATTTTTTTTGACCCTACGCCGGGCCGTGACGCCTAAAAGGGGGGGGGGGGTAGTTTTCAAGACATGGCCGAGATTTGGCGCTGAGCTGTGTCATCGCGAGCTTTGGTACCAAGCTCCGCAGTGGGTCGGAAACCTCGTGGTAGGCGAGATCCCTAAAGGGCGAGAGCTTCCTCCCTTTCCCCGAAAAACTCCCAGTCATTTTCACAAAGCTCCGCCTTTCTCCTTTTCAGGAGCGTGAGCCCTTTCTCGCGAGATCTCATGTTTCCTAAAGGCGAGGCGCGGGAGGCATCCTGCGGTGGATTACGAAGGTCTCGCCGATCCTAAACGTAATATCGCGATAGTTACAACAGCGCATGCGGGAGTTGCCAGCGGCAGCATATTAGCTCCACCTCTTAGTGCTTCGTGAGGTTGTGCGTCATTTGGTTTTTGCTTCGCGTGGGGTGAGAGCGAAGCTGTACCGACTCGGGCTTTGGTGGGAGGGAGAGGTCTGGGAAGGGCTGGGTTCAGGTTTTCACAGCCCTGTAGAGGTTGTCGCGGGATCACGCAAAGGCGGTAGCGATTCGCCTACTGAGTGTAGGAGCTGCGGAGGCGCGGGCAGCCTCTTCTGGTGGTACTGTTCTTAGCTGGTGAGTTCTCGCGGGAGCAGGGTTAAGTCCGCGTGGGACTCGCTAGCGGTGGCGGAGGTACCTTGGGGATGCAGGGTGGGGGGGCAGTGACTAGGGTCGGTCTGCATGCTGTTAAGATGGCGGCGGAGGCTGATGTCTGTCCGGCTAGTACTTGGTGCTAAGTGGTTAGCTATTAGCGTTTGTGACGCTTCTCAGGTGCCAGACGTTAACGAGGTGACGAATGGCTAAACGTCGTGGTGCCGGTAATTTGTACCCGAGATGAAGACCACCTGGTTTCTTGTCAGCTAAGGCGACACCATTTCCCCGGCTTCAGCCGCGTGTGGGCCTGCCTTTGCCCCAGCAGTCGGTCTACGCCTCCGTTGTTGTCGTCGCAGTGGGTGGGTTGGGAAATGTTTGAGGGGAGTCCAGAGTTCATTGGGTAGTGGGTTGGGGGCTATATTAAACGGAGGGAGACACATGCGGAAAGCGACTGGTCTCCCTATGTATTTTGCAGACTTGCCTCGGTTTTCAGCCTTTGCGACGGCCTATAGGAATCCCCCTTTTTTTTTTCTTGAATTGAGGTGGGCTCTACTTCCTCAACTCCCCCTGCCTTTGAGCTAACTAAGGTCGAGGGGTCAAGCTTTAGAGTCACGAGAATACTACTCCCCCTTCCTAAATTGTTCTCTATTCCTGTGTAGTCTCTCTGCTACGTGAGAAGTTAGGGTGCATTAATAAGGGGGGGAGTAAAATCTTTTCTATCACTTCCCTATCTAGTCCGTCTAATTTAGAGCCTAGCCTAAATCCTCTAGCCTGTCCCATCGTCTTCCGTTGGTGCTCTTGGCGCAGGCGTTAATAGAACCTATCTTGTTCCCTGCATTTACTCCATCTTTGTAGATGGAGCCATAGTAACCTTCCATTTTCTTAGGTCCTTCCACTTGTTTATGCCTGTCCCCAGGACCGGGTACTGATTTCTTTGAGTACTTCGAGACCACTCTTGGGCAGAACAATAAAGGGGTCGATAGTTAGATGATTCCAGTCTTGGTGGTCTCCTCGTTCGCCCCCCCCCAAAGACGGTAGAGGATAACACTTAAAGCAAACTTTCTGCCCTTCCTCTCTTCTCGCATTCAATTCTGCAAACCTTGGGACCCGCCCCCCTCTCGTGTCCTGTTTCTGTAGGCTGTGGTTGTCTTTTGGCTTTACTGCTGCTAGTTACCTTTTAAATACTTCTCTCTTCTTAATCGTTCTACTCCGCCTCAAATGCCCCCCCCCAACACACACTGAATCCCCTAATTAGGCTTCAAACTCCAGTATATTTTGCTTCCACCATGTGTTTTGCCCCTTAAACATTGTCCTGTTCTGCCTTATTTCCTCTTCCTTCATATCACCTCTATTATAGTCGATTAATTCCCTATAATGTGCTTCCTTTGTAGATAACATGCTGTGAATTTCTTTTAGTGCCAGTTTCATAGTTTGAAGAGACACTTAACATTTCATTGGGATGCAGCCTGATGTAGTAAAAGTATTGCTTGCTTTCATTTCGCATAGAACTGCCTGACCTTGGGAAGATTGCTTTCAGATTGTTTCTTCATGTATATAATGAGGATACATGCTTTGAAGGGTTGTTGATGAAATTAATGAGAAAATTTGTAAAGTGCCCAGCTTATAGGAACACAAATCATAGAGACTTTTGATGTAAGAATACATTGGTAGATATGTTTGTGTCATGTGATACATTTATATAGCTGGATAGGTTTTTTGTGATTTCTTCAACTGTAAATTTTTATTGTGCTTAGAATCCATTTTGTATTTTTTCTATACAGTGATTCATGATGCTCAAATGTGTTCCTACTCTTTAAAACATCTAGTGTAAAACTTTGAGTGCAAAATCACTCTCTTGGAATGACCACCAGTTACGTTTCTGTCACAACCACACTCAGGTGTTTTACCTTTTTCAAAGGAGTTCCTCATCTCTTGTCAGTTACTCATTTCTGCCACTCCTTCAAAGATGTCCTGTCCTTCACCCCACAAAAATAATGAAATTCGGTACCATGCATTTTGCAGTGGCAAAAGGGGTGTCTTTCTCCTAGATAGTTTGCAGACATTTATGTTTCTTTCTCCATACCTCGTTTATTTAAGTCCCTCAGGTCAGTATGGGTGTGCTATTTGGCATCCTCTTACTTGAGCATGATTATTCTTGTGTGCAGAGAAAGGTTGATTAAAATACCAAGTATTTTTTTTTTCCCATAGGCAACCCATGGCTAGATCTTTGATAACTACCTCCTGTTATGCTTTCTAACATACTAAATACAAGTGACTATTTGATTTTGAGATAGTTTTCCTTACTGTTAATATTTTGATTAGGCCAGTGTTAGAGTGCTTTTTCTAATTATGTTGGTTGGATGATGGTGGTTGAAGTAGGAACATGATAAAAGTATATTACCTTCGAAATTTTACAGTGGGTCGCTATCTGATAACTGTGGATTAGAGTTTTGAGCTTCAGAATTTGTTTTAGTTGGATGGGCTTTAGAGGTCAGTGAATTTCCTTTTTCATTGGAAGACAGTTCTCTTTATTTTGAGATTTTTGCTTTGGCACCTTTTTTAATGGTCACAATTAACTAACCCTTAGTTTGACTCTTGTCCTTCAGCATTATAATAAATCTGGGAATGATAATCTAGGCATGACCTAAAAGGTTTAATTTATTCTAGGTAGATCTGTGACAAGAGAGGAAGGAGTGGCAGTGCCAAATAAAAACTTTGTCTAAGATTCAATGACAAAGTTCAACTTGAATTTCCAGGATGTTTATCATTTATCTCCCAGTATGACCAAAAAGCATTTATGAAGGTGAAAAATAATTTTTACGTGTGCTTTTTTCCCCACAAAATGCTAAGTTTTCCTTAATATCATTTTATTTGTAAGATAAACAACTATTTGGGTTTCATTTGGGTTGAAAACTTGAGTTTTCAAGGATGTTGTGCCATTAGCAGTATTGACTCGCTATTGGTTTTTGAATTCTTTATTTACTGTGCAAATTGGTATATAAGGGCTGTTGCTTCAGAAATAGTAACTGATTATGTTTAAGCATTGATATAATGGTTAGCTCCCCAATTCTAATATATGTGAATTTCTTTTCCCCAACCTTTTTTTTTTTTGTAGGTCCTCCAATAGCCTGACCTGAGTGAGTTAGTGCTTCAGAGGAACAAATCGGTAGACCAACTTGGTCGGGAAGTCTCAGGAAGCTCTTGGAGCAGTGTTGGGATTTCCTACCAGGATGAATATGATTGACTGTGATTTTAGGTTAGTTTTTGCAGATTTTTGTGGGTGATATTTGTATTTTCCTAAAATGTAGATGGTATGGGTATTTCTATTTTGTGATTGAACAGCTTTGGTGTGGTTCCATTGTGTGGGTCAGATGTGGTAATTTTTTACATTTTAGTGGGTGGAGCTCATTACTGAATTAAAAGGAACTGTTTAATGCATACCGTTTGTACATGATTTTTAAATTAAGTTATAAAAATTTGAAACATAAAACTATATAATGATCCTCCCCATGTACTAACATTTATCAATTTGAAACCATTCTAGTTCCCCCCTAGACCATTCCCCCCACCATGGAGTTACTTTGAAATAAACTACTCCTGTCATACTATTTTTATCTAAAAGACAAGAGTTCTTGACAGCATAACCTCAAAACTGTTTTTACAACTGAAGAAATTTAGTTTTTCAAATACAAAATATGAAGCTAATGTTTAAACTTCCTTGATACTTTGTCTTGTTTACAGTTTTCTTTGGCTCAGGATCCAGAGAAAGTCCATTCACCAAAGAGTTGATAAAGATTTTAATCTGCAGTTTATGTTTCTTTAGTTTTTCTTCAAATTTATTTGTTAAAGAAATTGTCTTACAGACTTTTCCTCACATTTGAGAATTACAGCCTATAGTGATGTCTAATCCATTATTATGGACCCTGGAGAACCTATTATAATGGAACAATGGTAGTAATCTCCTATATCCCAGTTGGAGTTGATACTGCTGGCCTAGTCAGTATACCAAAATAACTAGTCATGGATCCCGTTTTTTTCTGTGGCAGTCTGATTTGACACCTGATTTCAGTTCCATGTCTTAGCCCCACTTACTGTTCCACGTGAAATACAGGCTTTCTGGAAGAAGAAAAAAAGCTAATGTTGTTTTGTTTTTATTTTGATATTATCTCAGCTGCTCTGACCTAGAACTTAGCTATTAAGACCTAGTTGATGAATTTTACTGGCTGGCATACAGTCATTGAAATCACAATATTAAATAAAACTAGCCTTTGAGAGCGTACAGTTACACCTTATCAGCTATTATACTGTAGTTTTCCTATTGTAGTTCTTATGTCAGCTGGAAATGATATTCCTCTTAGCAAAAAAAAAATTGCTCATTTCTTTTTCTTGGTGCAGCATTAGCCATTCTGGAATCTCCCCTTTGTTCCTTCATGGCCCAAACCAGAAAATGGGAGTTGAATCCAGCCAGCCTTTGACTTAAACACAAATGTAGGCAGAGCAAGTCGTCTTGTGTCTGTCTTTAAAACAGGAAGAATTTTAAAATTGAAGGGACAGAAAGGAAAAGTCATCATGAATGAAATTTTTTGAAGTATTTAGATGAAATAAGATTATGAATCACCAGTGCAATGTGTCATGAGTTCAGGTGTTTTTGGGGTTTTTTTTGGTCTTTTGCTTTTTTGAGACAGGCTTGCTTTCTGTAGCCCCAGTTGGCCTGAAACTCACAGAGATCCGCCTGCTTCTGCCTCCTGAGTGCTGGGATTAAAGGTGTGAGCCAGCATACCCACTAAGTCAGGTCTTTGAATTCTGTGTTCATTATTGGAGAAATACCTATTTGAAATTTTACTAAATTTTAAAGTATTTCTTGGGAATTATCATGTTTTCAACAGAAGCAATTTTGAATATGTATCTATATAGTGATCAAATATTTACTCCTCAGTTACTTCTTAGTTTAAGCGAAATCACTTAAACCTAAATCTAAGTTTGTGAAACTAGGATAACTGAAGAGTACTGGTAACACTGTGCACACAGTAGGCATTCCAATATTTGAATTTTTCCCTCAGTTCTTAACAGTGCAAGTGCACAGTGGAAATGGTATTGGCGTTTTTTAGTCTCCTTTGGTTGTGTGTTTTCAACCACCAGTTCACAGTACCATTGAAATGCCAGACTTGGTTGCTTTGAAAATATTTGCCCTTCACATTCCATGGTGCCTCTCCTGGAATAAGATAAAGTTGTTGAAGTGTGTTTTATATTTGTGCCCATATTAGGCTGCTTTGCAGTGATCTCATAGGTAGATGACAAGGTAGAAAAGCACTTATGCTCTTAGAATTTTCTTGTATTGTTTTCCGACTCCTTTCCTCAATGACTGGTTACCAAATGTTTATATATGTTAATGTCAAGGATAATTCAGCCCTTAAGATTCTGGAAACCTCTTATTTGATGTGTCATAGAGGTTGAGTTGGTAAAACTTGATGTACTTGTTGACCAGCTTGGTTTTCTGGTTATAGAAATGCTTTCAATGAAGGAGTGGCTCTCTATGACTAAAAGAACTGTATGTTTTGTTTGAGCTGTTAACCTGACAATTTTCAACATTTTTCTTAAAAAATTTTCATCATTTGGGTTTTAAAATCATAATGATAATATAGATTAACCCCAGAGTGTGATTTCACAGAAAGTTGGCATTTGTTTTGGCTTTTGTGGGGGTACCATTCAATGGAAATTGTAGATCTAATTCAGTTTTTATTGCTGATTGAACTAGGTAAATGCTAAAATTTTCAGCTCGGGGATTTTTTTTTCATATAATCTCAAATGTTGGAAGAAAGCAGTTTTTCAATAGTGGTGAGTAGTGAGACTAAAAGTAAAAAATAAGGAGGACTTAAATTCTTATAATTTGACATTAATCCAGATACACTACCATATGAATTTATGTACCACCTTTAGCACAATTCAGGTTTTAAGTCCTTATCATTAGATACTAGAGATAATTGCTGTGGAGATCCTTGAATGCATTGCATTTGCTGAGTGTGTTTTGGAACAGTTTTTGAAGATAGCTTTAATGGTGGTTGTGGTGGTTGTTTGCTACATTTATTTACTTATTTCCCTGTTGTTTTTTTTTTTTGTTCGTTTGTTTTGAGACAGGGTCTCCCTGTAGCCCGAGCTGGCCTGGAGCTTACATGTAGACAGGCTGGCCTCCATTTCACTGAGATCCACTTGCCTCTGCCTCCTGAGCACTGGCATTAAAGGCGTGCACCACCTTGCCTGGCTTGCCTGTCTGTGTTTTAGTAAGGCATATTCTGGTCTTTGCTAGTGTTTTTCCATACACAGTGATCCTCCTCCTTTACTGAGTAGCTGAGACTATAGGCATGGGCAACTTCTAGCAGCTCTCTTTCCACTGTTTATTACTTCCTTCTGCCAGTGGACAGGCTTTCAGTACAATGATTAAAAAGATTCCCTGAGTTCAAGTTCTGACTGTTTCTTACATGCTGTGTCATCTTGTGCAATACCTCTGTATGCTGTAGTTGTTACTCTATAAAGTAGTAATTGATACTTATCACATAGGGCTTTGGATAAGTTGGACTGAGTTAATGCATGAAAGTACTTAGAACAGTGGTTCTCAAACTTGAGAGGGGACATCAGAACTACCTAGAGGGATTGTTGAAACAGATTGCTGTATCTCACCCCCAGTTTCTGATTCTGTAATTTTGGGGAAGCAGATTTACATTTGTGGGTTTCCAGATGATGCTGGTGTTCAGAACCACCAGCATAGATCTGTAGTTGGCACATTGTTAACTTATTATTTCTGAGCTCTGCCTTCTCAGTCTGAGTGAAGCACTTCACACTTTAGTACTATTTAGTATTGCCTTCAACTAAACGTAGTTGCGAAATATGTGTATATGTTTTATTCTTTGAGAAATTCACACATGTATTCAGTGTATTTTGATTGTATTCATCCCCTATTCTCCCTCCCAACTTCATGTCCTTTTTTTTTTGAAGTCCAGTTAGTGTTACCCTTATGCACAGGGGTGTAGGGCCATGCACTGGAGTATGGACTACCTACTAGTTGACCACACCACCAAAGAAAAATGTCTCTTCCCTTCCCCAGCTTTCTTCAACTGCCAGTAGCGCCCCAGCTGGGGGTGGGGCCTCAGAGTTTCTCCCTGTCCGTGCTAGAATTTTGACTGACTTGATCTTCTGCAGGTACCCATTACTGCTGTGAGTTTGAGTGCAGTGGCCATGTCCTGTCCAGAAGACAGCATTTCAGAGAACTCCTTCCCTCTCTCCCCCTTTGAAGTGTTCCATGAGCTTTAGAAGTGAGGGTGCAAGGTTGATAAGGATGTCCCATTTAGGGCTGAGCACTTACTCTACATTAACCTCTGCCTACTACAAAAAGAAGCCTTTCTGACCAAGATTGAGAGCAGCTTAGTATTGCTTCAGCTGAAAGTTTTGAAATCTGTGTTCTACTTCTGGCACATTGGCAGCTGCGTCCAGAGGTTTAATAAATTTGGGTTCATTGCCTTTGGCAAACATTGGAGGGTATGTGTCCATTGACAACATGTTTTGATGATGTGAATTTCCCTTTAATTCATTAAATCGTTGGGGACTGTTTCAATGCTGTCATTTTGTTTTCATCTGATAACTAGAATAATTTTATATTTCTCATCTTTCATTTAATTACTTGGTGATATAGTTGATACATAAAAAGGCAAGATGAATATTCTCTTTTTAATAAAAACGGGTTTTGGGGTGTGTGTGTGTGGGGCGGGGTTGGTTTTGGTTTTGAGATAGGATTTTCTTCTCTCCCCAGTGCTGGGATTATAAGCATGTGCCAGCCACCATACGTGCCTTTTTTTTTTTTTTTTTTAATGTGGCTTCTGGGGATTGAACTTGGGTCCTTGTGCTTACAAGTAAGCACATTAATTACTTGACTGAGCACAAGTAAGCACATTAATTACTTGACTGAGCGGTCTCCCCAGTTCTTTTTCTGAGGTCTCACTCTTTAGCCCAGGCTGGCTTCAGACGCACAGAAATCCTCCTGCTTAAGTGCTAGGATTATAAGTGTGACCCAACACTCCCAGCTACCCCCCCCCCCCGTAAAAATAGCTTTCTTTTAAATTTTTTTTTAAAATGGGTGTGTGTGTGTGCCCACAGAGACTAAAAGAGAGCAGTTGGATCCCCTGGAGCAGAAGTTAACAGGTAAGCTGCTCCATATGGGTGCTGGGAATCAAGCTTAGGTCCTTTGGAACAGCAGGAAATACTCTT